GCAAACAACTTATCAATATGCATGGATTTCCCAGCCAATATCAGAGCAAACAGAGTCGTTTGGAGAGCGGAGTCTGTCGGGAGAGAAATAGGGCAGACATGTCAAGGTCAGGATTTTGTTAATGAGGGACGGGCCGCTGAATAATTGAATGGGCTGAGCAGTATCGACTGTTGAAGCAGAAGCGTTTAAAGCGTTGGCGATCGTTAAGGAAAATCCTCCCAGCACTTTATGTTCCATGGCAGTAATTTATGCACGGGCATCCAAGCGGCTGCCCTATGGTTCACAGCACTGAATGCACAAAGCAATGAGTGGATTAGCCAAGCACACTCTAGAAACAGCAGCCAAGCGTGCAAGTCATTCCTGTGGATGAAGTAATGGCTCTGGCAGTGCAATTATTCAGCTGTGCATTTCAAATAATGGAAATGGGGAGAAGCGTTGAATATTTGCTCTGTGCACCTAGCAGAAACATGGAAATATTGCTAATCGTGAACACAATGTCAAGGCTGGAAGTGATCAATCTGCAAGCTGCAGCAGTGACAGAGGGTGATCCAGAGTAAGGGAAACATTACATGTGATTTTTATGCTGTGTACCCTGTAAACAAGTTCCCAGACGAAGAAAAAAGACAAAAACTATGTGATGAACGACTTAAGTGATGACATCAGTTGGTACTGCCGGATTCCCTGGCAGACGCAACTGTGATATTTGGCCACAGAAAACAAATTCTGATAATTGTGGGATCAAAGCAGCAGATGTAAATGCATGTAAACAAGCTAAGTAATACTACTTTAGCCAAATGCCCCCTTTGTTTTGAGCGCAATCTCAGCCATTTTTAATCTGCACCAAGAACTGCTCAAGCTGTTGTTGTTGCAGCAGCGTCCTCGAGCAGTTCTCAGGCCTTTAAGCCTCCACCCCTCTGCAGGTTGGAAGCTTTGGGGGGCTTCTAATCCCTCTATGTAATTACTGTTCCCTGCAATGGCCAGACCATCTCTGTGTAAATCAGATTAGCTGACCTAAATCGCTCTCATTTCTCTCTACCCCATCAAACAATTCCTTATCTACACCCAGAGAGCTAAACAACACAGACACCACTCCTCCAACCTCCCACCCCCCAAAGACATGGCCTGTTTATTTGATCAGCGAAGGAAAGCAAACAGTTTCTCCATGATACACAAACAGGCTGGGCCGCGCCGACCCTGCTGGGTGGCCAGAGAGCAAGGGTAGGGTTGAGTCACTGGTGGGGCTGAAGACATGCAGATAACCACCTCCATCACGTCCACACTTCCATGCTGGGGCATTAAAAGCAAAGGAGGCGAGGCAGACACATAACATGGGCAACGATGTTGCTCAATGCATGGTAAATAAAAGGTCACCGAACATGATAGAGATGTATTACTCCTCTCTGTGCTGCCACCTCGCCTACTTCCCATCCAATTTATTCCTCAGGTCATACATTTACAACTTTGAGAGAGGAGGAGGAGGGGAGACATAGAGAGGAAATGCTGCCCTTCAGTGGGAATAGAGACAGGCTAAAGTAAAGAGGGGGAACAAATGAGGTCTGTGATCCTGCCTGTCCCCTCCCTCCCTCCCGAGCCCCAATCAGGCCGAACCACTGCTCTCAGCGCGACAGCCAGGCCTTTGTTGCGGTCTGAATGGAGGTTAAATATCCCTCGAAATCAGAGCTCTTTAGCTTTCTGGACGCATAGTCAGAGAACCAGCGCCTTTCACATGCTAATGCCCATGTTTTTTATTTCCTTTGTAACCATGGTTAGACAGCGGTATCATGCTAAAGGGCGATGAATAAAGCGGGTGAATTTGTTTTTTTTCCTCAGCTTCCCCCCGCCTTCTCTCTCCTCTTTTCTCCCATTCCTCCCCCCTTTCCCTCTCTCCTTCTTTTATCACCATCTCCTCAAGCCAGCCCACATTCCATCCCCCTCCTGCAGGGGTTTAAAAAAGCACAGATGGTCTCTCCTGACCTGCTATTCATCATTGTGTCAAAAGCTTTGTCAGAATAATGCCCCACAACAACAAGCTGAAGGATTTTATTTGTTTCTATTGATGAGGCCCGTTAATTTCACAGACGTCTCATTAGGCTTAAACCACCAATTAATTTCTTTTGTTCTCATTAAATGGCTAATTCTAAACATGAACCGCACTGACAATGAGTGCTGCTCAGAGCCAAAGCCAGACAACGCTGCTCCCGCCACGGAGCTACTGGAGCGTGAAGCGGGCAGGTACAGGGAGAAAATTGAAGAGCAGGAGGGAGTGCGAGATGGGGGGGGGGGGGGGGGGGAATGAGAGAGAAAGTGGTGGCAAGAGCAGGAAAGAGCGAGGGAGCGAAAGAGAGCCCTGACAAAAGCCTCTGTTAATTTGTAGACGCCCTTAACACTAGGCATGGATGGCAACTCATTAACTGCTTGCAGGTTGTTGTTTTTTTTCCTGTCAGGGGATCAAGTGGCCCTCAGGAGTAAAGGTTGCAATCATCTGTTGGTGGCAGCAGCCAGCTCTCAGCTATGAATAAAAAAAAAAATGAAAATAAAAATGATAGCAGAATAAATCAAAATACAAATGGGAACAAAAGAAAAAATCAAAAGCGCAGACTGGGAACCAAGGTAGTAATTTTTCTATTGGAAGTGTGCTCACAAAAGCTATCTTGTGCCTGCACTCCATTATAGCAGTGCAAGCTGTCATTATGGCCAAGGATATATGGAAGCCTCATAATATCCAGAGATTGGTAGTTTGTTAGACAGCACTGTACAATTTGCTGCAGCCTTGAAGGATCCTTGAGCTTCTCTTGACAATTTACCGAGGGAATTGCCAGAGCGTTGCCTTTTGTCTGCTGGAGACACAGGGGCAATTATCCAGCCTCCTGTAATGTTTCCCTGACTTTAATCTCCTGGCTGAGAGCGCAAAACAGAATGGGTAAGGTTTCAGAGTGCCTCTGGGTTCTATTAACACACAACTGCTGTTTCTGTTCAGGCCAGGCAGCCAAGAGAGGACGACAATCTGACAGACATGCCTCCCCTGGGCTTTTAGGGAGAAAACATGATTATGTCATAATATATTTTCGAAAAGAGATCCATTTGAAAGATTGCCCCTCTGTCTTTTCAATCTAACATGGCTCTGCTTTTGTCAGGCACAGTGGGAGCACTGGGAGTGACAGATGCTTCAATGAACCAAACAGGAATAGAAATAAAGTGTTTACCAGGAAAAAAAAAGCACCAGAGACCGGAAGCAGGGGCAAGAAATCCAGTTTCACTAACAATTTCATCAAATGAATCTCAGTTGGTTGTCAAAATTTTCCTGGGGTTTACTTAAATGTGTTATTTTAAAGCAAGTATCCTGCAGAGCTGCCTTGTTCATAAACACATCTTTACGGTTTTACTCATAAATACTTTCACCATAAATAAAGGGGAAAAAGGCACATTTCAGCAAAATACTGGAGGTGCAATAATAAATCAGTAATAAATCAAATTAGTTGATTAACAGAACAAAAAAGTAATTGGCAACTTTTGTGATAATCAATTAATCATTTTAATTGTTTTCAAGCAAAAAAAACAAAAAACATTCTTGTCCCAGCTCCTCAAATGCTTTTCTTTGTTATACTGTTTATGACAGTAAACAGAAAACTTTTGGGTTTTGTACTGTTGGTTGAATAAAAAACAACATTTGAATGGATCTCCTTGGGCTGTGGGAAATAATAGCAGGCGTTTTTAACTATTTTCTGACTATTTTCAAACAGAAAAATAATTGGCAGATTAATTGTCAATGCAAATAACCATTTGTTGCAGCCCTCAAAAATATTACAGAGGACTGGATTTTGTATGATTGTAGTCCAGATTGAAACTTGTTTTTCAGAAATATCATTCCTGTGGCCCCAGTATGTGTGTCTGTCCACTCCACTAAATGATGGCAAACATATCACTTTGTGGCTGAGAATAACACTTGAGCTTCACAACAGAGTATTTGGACAGGGTTGAGCTCACCAGCCCAGAGATCATGCAGCCACTTCACCACTTATACTGTATGTGTAAGAGCTTTCCAAAACACCAAGAGACAAGAGGTGGGCAATCTTATGATCAAAGTATATGCCTTTTAGATTGTATGCTGCTCTCTGTACCTCTCCAGTGATGAGGATAGTGCACTACAGCAATATTGAAATGAGAGCATTTGCTGTGGGGGAAGCAAAAGGTCCAGTGTTTCCTAATAGAGTATGAGATGCTGCATATGAGACACTTACATTTCTCAGATAATAAATAAAAATACGACTTTCCCCCACAATACTCAATCTACTGTGCTGTTAGAACAGGACATGGCTGACATATAAAACGTAAGAAATTCCTGTGAAATTATAATTAGGATGTGTCCAAAAAGTAGTCTACAAGTACTGTGCATGGATAACTTTCATCAGCATCGTGGATGTGACTTCATAATCAACATGTTTAGTTAAGGTTGCTTACGCCAGGTTCATCTGACAGCAGATTATCAGGGCTCATTATTGTTGTTTTTGGAAAAAGAAGTATGTGTGTGTAAATTTTACAGGTGGAAATTTGATGGTAAAAAAACAGGTATAACAAAAATAATGGTGATAGGACCATCTGCAACATAAACATTCAGGAGGTTTCACTGATTACTGTTTTTACTTTTTAAAATTACTTTAGTTTTAGTTTAAGGGTGCCTGGTCAATCTTCAGCACAATAATGTTACACAGCTCTTATTTGTTTTGACCCTATTTGTTCCCTTCAGTTTCCATAACCAGAAACAGTTGATGGTGCTCTGGACAAAAAAACTCTACAATCTCTTAAATTCAAAATAATAACTCATGACGATTTGCCTTCAGAGCCCTGTTTTTCCAGTCAAATCAAGCTGAGTTAACGTTAGCTAACTGAGTTAGCTTGATTTGATTGTTGAATTGACCAGAGTCTGCATATTTTCAGTTCTTCAAAATTGGTTTAAAACGTATCTGGAGCTGCTGTCACACCAACCGACATTAAACACTCACCGACTGAAGGTTTCAATGGTGGCCATTTGTTAGCTTTCCTTTGGAGCACCTGTGGTGAGCTTGAGTTATTGTAACATGCAATGGATCCCAATGGTAACGATCCTTCACTGCAGGGAAAAAACAAAGAAACCAAAGAAATGTATCAAATCACTTCTCCAGCACAATACACTTCCCTGCTGGCCATCTGTATGATCAATATGTTGCTAACGGTGGCCGTTTAGCCAAAACACGTGTTAAATTTATCACGTCACCCGACGATCCAAAACCTCCAGTATCCGTTAGCTAACGGCTAGCACAACACGGCTAATCCATAGCTGGGGCATTTGCTCTTGCCATTTCCAAGATATGTCAGGTATGTTAGGTTAAGTAGCATTATTGCTCAAATCTCAGCTCCAGAGTCAACCAGCAGGAAGAGTTAGCAGGTGCAATGCAAAAGGATGGGACGGATTTGACTATTTTACAAGCACCTGTATGCGGGTATAAGTGGCAGCTACTAACATTAGGGAGGGTGTAGCTGTTTATTTTTTTGTTTGTTGCAGTACTGGTATTTTATACAACCCAAACTGCAAAGTTTCAAGTAGTAAAAAGTTAGATATGCAATTGGCATATTAGCTGATGTGTGCCAATATATAGTTAAAATACTAATGGTTGCATGTTTTCCCTTAATTAATTAATCAATAGATTTAGAGCCATCACATAATTTACCATAAATATGTCCTGCATTTCTTGAAGTGATAAGTATCACACTGAAGGTATAGATAAAACAATCTATCCCATTTTATTCAACAATGCCAAAGGGAATAGACAGAAGTAATATGTTGGTCCTATGCTGTATTTATTGTGAAATAATTATTCACACAAACTGAGATGAATCCATATTTAAAATTGAGGAAAATATACCCTCTTTTAAGTATTAGTATGTGATCAGGCAGTTAATCAGATTCATATAAAGATACCTTCCAAGTAAACACAGGCAGCAGTATAGGCCAAAGGGAAACTAAGCTCCCACCACTTTAGCTCAATACCACCATTTCCTCTGTAATTAATGTTGCTTATACACCTCCAGCTGTGCCTTAATCAAAGAATGTGTGTGGAAATATAATTAGCATGTTAGCATAATGCACATAATAAAGAAGTACTTGAAGTGGTCTTGATCTCAACATCAAAGAGCACGTTGGTTCCTTCTCAGGGCATTAGCATCATACAAATCTAATTACTCTGGGTATTGAATTTCTGGATTTTAGTGGATACTTGGAACAAATATAAAGGAATCTCCCAACAATACTCTGGCCTTTCAACGAAAAATGGCCGTTACCAAAAGGGCAGACATGAGAAGATAGTGAAACAACATACTGATAATGTGTAGTTGCCTGCTCCTCAGGACACATCAGGAGGAATTTAGTTTTTCTAGCTTCACGGCCCTCCAGCTGCGGTGACACAAACCTGCCCAGTGCAGACAGTCTCTTGACCTCAATATCTAAAATAGCATCAAGTCCATTACTGTGCCTGTGTCCTCTGACTAAGCCCTGAGACTCCACAGGCTGAAGTGCAACATCAAGTTCTCATGTAGAAAGCCCTGTGAACATCAGTAGTCTGAACACAGCAGCAAAAGCAGCAGCAGCAGCAGCGGCGGCGGCAGCAGCAGCAATCCAGCCTAATCCAAATGAATCCGGGTCTCCCAGGTTTGTTCATCCTGGTTGGAGGGTGATGACTGCTCTGCTCTGCTGGGGTGCTTATCTGCTCTCGGTGGTCGGTGGCTGTACAGGAACTCGTGTTATCAGGGCTCAGCCTGCTCAGGGATTGGAGGGCCCATGGAAAGTAAACATAGAACATGTCCTTTGCTTATCTCTCCCAGGAGAGTGTGTGTGTGTGTGCTATGTGTGTGCGCATGTGTCTCTGACAGAGAGAGAGATGCACCGAGAGAAGCTTGTTTCCATGGTAACCGCCTCCTTTAACCCCCCCCTCCCCTCTAGAGGAGAACCCCGGTGGTCTTTGTGTAATACGATTCCACTAGAATGCACTGTGGATTAGAGCTGCACTGCCTTCGGGCCCTAAGCAGGGCAACAGTGAAGACATTATTACCCAGATCAAATGCTGTAATCACTAGGCACTGGGGGCTTTCACATCCATAGCAGATAAAACCTAGGACTGGCAATACTCAGGTGATTAGGGGATTATTATTCTGCATTTCAGCACAGTGCCAGTCCCTCTCTGTTGGAAAAAAAAAAAGAAATACCCTGATTCTCTGTGTGATGGATGGGGGAGGGCGGGAAACAGAATGCCTGCCAAAAGAACCAGCCAGAATTCTGGTGGACTGCCTGGCAACTAAAACAAGAAAAAAAACATTCACACAGTGGTTTGCATGTGCAAGCCCACATATTGGCATTACAACCCCCCCTTGATTTTCTGTTGGGTCTTTTGAGTGTAACAATCTAAGCAGAAGTAAAGAATTGGACTATGTTCTTATGTTTAGAGCTGCTGTAAAACACTCAAGCCTCTCTAGTTTCTGCACTGTAGCCCTCCTCTAAATAGAACAAGGCAGCACGGGCTTTCACATGAGAACCTGCTGAAAGCCCTCCATTGAGAGGTAGATCGGCAGAAGGCGAGACAATGACCCCCTCAGTGTCCAGCAATAGGCAGTACAACCTTTCATCTGCAGATATTCCACTGTTTGATTAAGTGAGGAAGAAAATTCTACTTGAGCAGAGAGCTTAAGCTCCAAATGCACACAGGAAGTACACACTTCAGTGAGAAAGACTATAGCTTTTAACAAATGAGCCCGTGAGAGCGGAGCATGGCGGCTGGCTCCATGCTGAAAGCATCCGGCCCTGCTTTTATAATCTAACAACAACATCTCTGAAGAGGCAGCCATATGAAGGGCTTACAGCTTCACGCTCAGAGTCCTAGAAGAGCCTTGCTCTGGAGTGGAAGGACCAGGCCATTCACCTCATCCTGCCCAAAAGTACTCAACTACCAAAAGACCACTCAAGAGAACTCAAGAGCAGTGTTTGCGTCATATTTCTGAATAGGCACTGCATAAAAACTCTGCCTTCTAGTATCACTAGAGGTGGCTGTGTGGTTTCAGTGCTGCCACCATACATGGATACAACACTGAAAAAGGTGGTAGCCGACAGTGAAGACAGCTGGTTATAGTACACTATGACTTTGAAAGAGTTCAAGCCATTGCCAGAGGTACCAGCAGCCTCTCTTAACAGCACCCAGAATGTCTTCCACTCATGTCTGTGATTCTCCTAAGACAGTTGTCAACTCCTATTTGGAGTCATTTACTGTGGGAGGAGGAGAGCCTGCAAGTAAGTCTGTATGTACTGTAGATGCAGAACAGAGCAAGGGAGCACCCTTACTAACAGCACACAGGGCAATGAACACTGGTGCTGTCAACAACAGTCGCTGGTCTAGCTGGTTTACACTCCCTTTCCCACTGCTGGCAACAGCACAAAGCCTTATTGGTTTTGTTGCAGAGTTAAATGAGAAGATTGAAACTACTTCCATGACTCACTTATGGTAAATGCAACATCTAGCACCTATCTACCTATCATAGCATAAAGAGTGGAAACCGGGGCATGCCTCTGTCCAAAAGGCAACACAGTCTGCAACTAGCAGAGTTTTCAGGAAATTGCTAAGCTTTAGTACTTTGTTACTTTCAGACAGATAAAGCTAGCTATTTCACCCTGTTTTCAATCTTTATGCTTAGCTAATTAGCTTCACATTTACCATACATGATCTGGGTGAGAGTGAGAGAGAGAGAGTGTGAGAGATCAATTTTCTCATCCAACTCTGAGAAAACCAAATAAACGCATTTCCCAAAATTCAAACTGTTCCTTTAAACTGTGCAACAGTATCAAGGCACCAGCACTATAGAAATTCAGTCAAGATGATATTTTATAGAAAAACAGTTTATTGATTTATCAACAACTGCCAACTGTACAATCCTTAGGGATGATGAAACGTGTATGCTACACAGTCTAACTTGTGTTTATGCAGAGACCATTCCTGTAAATGAGAAGTACAGTGCATACCCAAAATGTCAAAAATGGTAATGGCTTCGTCCGCCTCCTTTATGAGTAACCTTGCAAGTCTTGCATGTCAGTCATAGAGAGTCAAACAAGAGAGGCAATTATTAACTCTTAGACTGATGACTAAATTTTGCTGAGTGGAGAAATGAAGATTCATACAATTGTCGAGTCAACAGACTGAACTGAAGTCACAGCTGCTTCTCCATATATCCTGTCAGTCCTCCAGTTGACAACTATCCATTTTAATTATCCATTTTAATGTCCTTGAAAGCAGCCAATGTTCAGCATAGGTCTTCATTTCAAAGTTGAATTTCTGTTGACCGGGGCCAAAGGGTAGATGTAACTGGAAACCATGATTTTCTCCATATTCATCTAACAAAAAAAATAAAAATAAAAAAAAATTTAAAAAAGGGGCCTTTCCAGAATTCTCCACTGCTAAAATCCATAGGACAAATGTCTGTTACAGCAAACAGCGAAGAAAAAAAATATGCCGTCGTCAAGGAGGAAAAAAAAAATCCAAATTAGATTTCCGAAAAGGTCATTCTGGACAGCGAACATGAAAAAAAGTAGAGGAGGGAAAAAACTGAAATAGAATATCCTCTTACAAAGTCCTAATCTAATTTCCATCCCCAGAGGGGACAGAAAATCACGGAGAGAACAAGAAAGAACCATCACAAGTGTAACTGGACACCAAAATATAAATCTATAAAAGGCCTTTTATTACTCCATTATGTACACTTTTCACAGGACCTCCAAGGAGAAGCTCCAGAGCGAAGCGCCGCTTCTAGTTGTGTCATGGAACTTTATCTCCACATTAAAAAGGACGAATAAAAAAACAAATATCCAACAAACAGAAAAACAGCAAGACATTATTTTCTTCTTAGTGCCTTGGGGAACTGCACTTGCTGTACAAGTGTTAGCTGTATGAGTGAAGAAGGGCAGAGCCAAAAGGTCACAGCATCCAGGGCCACAACAGCACCAATGTCCATTTCAGTCTGGCACTGCCAAACTTCCAGCCCATCCACCCTGGGGCTGCAGGCAACATCCATGCTGTCTGTGTGAGGGAAGGTAGATGGAAGAAGAGTCTATGGTTCCTGAGCATGAGCATGCTCCGATCCAAAGCAGTCTTTCCTAGTAGATCACTTCATATACAGTGGCCTTCTTGTCACCAGAGCCTGTCACAATGTACTTGTCGTCTGTCGAGATGTCGCAGCTCAGGACAGATGAGGATTCCTTGGACTGAAAAAGATAAAAACATTTTAGTCGTGGAGGCAGTTAACG